ATTCAAACAGCCCTAGCTGCAGCACATCTGTGTCTAAGGCTGGAGGGCTGGTGCAGTGACGCTCACCAGCCTGCAGCCATCCTTGCACAGGGAAGTTAGAGCCCCCACATGATGGCACGAGCAGAGCGGATGCTAATTAACCTAAACCAGCTTCCTGCGTGGCCAAGCAGTCAGCAGGCACTAAAGGCCAAGCAGAGCTTCTTCACCATGACTGCATGAACAGCATCCACACAGGCAGCTGATGTGGAGCAGTCGGCCTGCTGCAAACTCACACCCTCCTTCCACCTTTGCAATAGCCTCCCCGTGTAGGCAAGCTCTGAGGTGAACACCTGCATGCACTAAGCAAAATACTTAGGTCAAAATGATTAAGTGAAGTTCTTCCTAATGTTCAGAAAGGGCAGTGCAATGCTTTTGGAACAAATAAAAATTTAATTTTAATTGCAAGGGACAGAATAAGCCCAAAGAAAGTAACTTATAGATAAGAACTGCAAAAATGATGTACTGATGGTGTAATGACAGAAGAATCTGGGGACAGCCTAGGATGAATACAGAAAATTATTTGGAATTTCACTTTATTTTCACTCTTACCAGGACAGATGAAACCTCTGGAGTATAATGTTTAAGCCAACCTTGTAGGAATTCTAGGAAATCTTCTTCTTCTTCTTTTTTTTTTTTCCTTACTAGAGGGAAAATGTTACTTATGGAATGTTATGTTTGAAGCTATCTCTAATTTTGTTTCACGCTCTTGCTGTCTTGCACGTATTTTCTTTGAACATGATACCCATAGCCCTGGCACATTCGCTACATATAGAAATAAAATAAACAAACAAAGGTAAAGAAATTTCCAAAGGAAACAGCAGAAATGCTTTTCAGATCGGTTGCTGTTTTCAAATACATGCCAGTAAGGACATCAAAAGAGCAAGAAACCCTTGTAGGCAATGCTTTATCTCTTATTTCTTAGAGAAGTGACAGACTCACTGGATAGTAAAGATACATTTTATTTTAAAGGAAAACAAATTATTTTAAATGTAACTGAAGTATAAATATTTATTATGCTCCTCTGCATTTGGTTTTCTGAATATGAATACTCCCAAAGTAGTATTTCCTCTGAAATTTTCAGATGCAAGCCAAGGAACTTGATTAAGAATTGAATGTGACAGCTAAAGAAAACTGTTGAAAAATTTTCTACAAAACCTCCCTCTCCACCTTCAACAACCTATATTTTGCCTAGTTTCAAACCAGAACACTTGGGCCAGGCTGAAGTAGCACCTTAAGAACCGGCAACTCCACCAGTCTTGACCCATGCTCCCAGGATCACATAAAGCTAATAATGATAATAATGAGCTAATGAACGCACGCTGGCTTAAGTTTGGATATCTAAAGATAGGACTTTGGCCTTTCTCTGACCAGGAGGCCAGAGGAAGGAGAGCAGAAATCTCTCCGCTCTGTTAGGATGATATTTTGATCAATAGCTCTTCAACAAAATGATTTGACTGTTTTCACACAAAATAACAAACCCATTTTGCCTTCTGCTTTATTTCTTGGGCAGCTTATCAGTCAACACGACTTGGTGTGAAAAGCATCCAGCATCTCCTCAGCTCTTCTCTCCGTCCCAGCTTTACAGCTCCTGCTACATTAATACTGCAATCTGTGCAACCTGCACCCTGCAACCATTAACACTGACTGAAATCACCTGCAACTTGGGCACCTTTCCCTGAGCTGGCTCTGCCAACGCGCTATTAGAGCACAGGAACAAACCCTGCAGCAGTGCTCACACACGCCCAAAGCGCAGCGTGGGGTGTTTTATAGCACGGGGATGGGCTGCAGTACCTCTGTGCCTTGTCACATGTGTGTTGGAGCACTCCTTACCCAACGCCAACGAGCTGCCAACATCTGCAGCCCAACACAGTGCGGCTGTGCTGACCGCACGGAGGAGAGAAGACCATTTTCTTGGCCATTTCCACTGTTTCCTCCTCCACATTTGGCTAAAGCACACCTGTGGCCAGTCACTGGTGTTCAGC